CGATCGCCTCGTTCACCTCACGCGTCTCACGCCCGGTCCGCTGGGTGTCCCGTGCTGCGTGGCCTGGCGCAGGATGTAGAGCTCCGGCATGCCGTGCAAGGGACCAAGCCCCGTCACCGAGATCTGGAGAAAGGGCGAAGCGGACCGACGGAGCTGAGAAGGACGGGAGAGACGGAACGGACGGTGACGAACGGAGAGGACGGATGGTGCTTTTTGTTTGGGGAGAAGAAAAGGAGGGGAGCACCCGGATGAAGCCAAATCACATGGGTGTGAAATGGTTGGAAGTTTGAAGCGCTCATGAAAGAGATCTGTTTGCCGTATCCCTCATGTCAAAAGCAAACCACAGAGGTGATGAGCTGCTCCAGTCCTTCTCCTGAAATCGCCAACGTGAGGTTTGGAGACCTAAAGGTGTTCAGCTCGTACCGGTATTTCTGTAATATCTTCTTTCGCCAACGTCACCACCTCTCAGAGTCCACTATTTATATCTGTGTGTGCGCTGCGGTGTGTACATTGGAATCGAGATACCCGGAAAAGGATCCTCTCGGAGAAGGAACGAAAACCACACATGCTAGAGATGGTGGGAGATGGTGGGAGACTTCCCCCCAAAAAAGAACAAACCACCCCATTCCGCTCACCCGACCTCTTTCTTCTCCCCCCTTCTTCCGCTGTTCGGTCCCGTGACGTCTCTTTGTTCGGTCCCATCCGAAGTGGTCAAACCCGGAGGTTCCCGTGGTTGGTGGCCTCCTGGTCGTTGCAGTACTTATAGGCGACTCGCTTCACCTCGCGGGAAAACACCCCCGGGGCGGGTCCGCCCGTCTCCGCCGTGGCGCAGAAGAATAGGATGGCCATGGATGGCCTTTCAAGTCCAGATGAGAGCTATTCCTTTCCGCAGGATAGGAAAAAACTGAAAAACAATATATACATCGAAGATCCTCGAATTACGATGAATTACTTACACTGCAAGAAAAACACGTCCAATCTTTATGGCATTCTGCTTGCGTTTGCTGCTCGTACCGGTGGCATAAACAGCTAGCAAGAACGAGCTGAAACCGGAAAGAACACATCCCACCAAGCCAAGCCAAGTCGGATTGTGGACTTCACCTGGATCAAATCCATCCAAATCGCTTAGGATAGAATCGGATGATGTGTCACAATGTGTCGCACCCAAAACCAACCGAAAGCTGATCAAAAGCTGGGGATGCCAGGGATGGGGATGAAGACTTTGGAAGAGCACAAGCATTCCCCATCCGGACTGGAATAGTCTTACACACTGATAGGTAATCACGGTATCACATTGTTTCATTTACCCCATCGAAATGACCCATGTAATTCAAAGTTTCAGTATATCCATGGATGCTCCGGCCGAGCGCTTTTCGGACCCTTCACCAGTGAAAAGGCCCCGCGCAAACCAACCTCCACCCCGGCCGGGCGGTCTGACCTCCTCCGCATCCACGGCGTCAATCCGAAGCCTTACAGGGGCGGCGAAGCTCACGTTTCGCCTCTTCGCCGCCGAAGAGCCGAGTTTCGGTTGGTGGAAAAGAGCCGGTGGGGCGACCAGGTACCAGTGGTGTAAGAAAAAAAACTAGGGTTCTCAACGGACTACCCCTACACATCCTGCACGAAATACTTGTGGATCTCCATTGGACTCCCTGAAAAAGGTCCGCAAAGCTACACAGGATCCATCCTCATGCGCACGAAGAATGTCCCGGAAGCATGTCGCGTGTGTCCCACCGCACGTCGCGCCCGCGCCCGTGGTCCCATGGCGTCGTGGTCGTTGGGTTGCCCGACATCATCTCGGCGGGAGGAATGCCACGGCCATAAGCCAGGACTTCCTTACCCACCTGGCGGAGCCCACTCCGTTTCCACCGGTCCGTCCGGGTGCATTTGGTGCCAGCCGCCTCGTGGTTAAAGCCAGTGTTCTGGCGCTCGTGGCATTGAAGGGATTGGTTGGATGGGAGTCGCTGGCGTGACAAATCTAAACAAGTCTATCTATCTATCTAGTCTAACCCATCGATCTATTATATCTATTCTCTATCTATATAATATATATATATATCTATTCTAATCTAATCCATCGATATATTATCTATCTATCTATCTAATGTAATCTAATCTAATCTAATCTAATCTAATCCATCGATATATTATCTATCCATTATATATATATGTCTATCTAATCTATCTATCTATCTATCTATCTATCTATCTATTAATCTAATCTAATCTAATCTAATCTAATCCATCGATCTATTATATATGTTATCTATCTATCTATCTATCTATCTATCTATCTATCTATCTATCAAATATTCTAATCTAATTTAATCCATAGATATATCTATTATCTAACTATCTATCTATCTATCTATCTATCTATCTATCTATGTGTGTATCTATCTATCTAATCTAATCTAATCTGATTTAATCCATCGATATATTATATCATATCTATTATCAATCGATCTATCTATCTATCAATCTAATCTAATCTAATCTATCATTTTCTACCTAACCTACCTACCTACCTACCTATCATTACCTATCTATCTATCCAACCCAACCCAACCCAACCCAATCCAATCCAAACCAATCCATCGATCTATCTATCTATCCATCTATCCAATCTAATCTAATCTCATCTATCATTATCTACCTACCAACCTACCTATCCATCCAACCCAACCCAACCCAATCAATCAATCTAATCTAATCTATGGTCTATCTATCTACAGAGCCAACCAAAAAAGGAAAACTCCAGAAACTTCTTGGCGAGCTTCTTGAGTTTGATCCACTCATGCTCCCCCCTGCGGCTCCAACCCACAAACCAAATCTCTATGCGGCCACACCTGATTGCAGCTTTCTTGGGTGCTGCCAGAGCCTCAAGATCAGACGCTGGAGCTGAAGCAGGCATGTGAGCTCCATGCATATCATCTATCAGAACCAAGCTGCACCCTCTAACTCTAGCTAAACACAGTCTGCACATTGAAAACACCATCAGAAAAATGGCAACTTTGATCAACTTTGGTATACACATGTCTTTTGAGATCCAAATAGGCTGGCTTGCCCAAGCAGTTATGAACTTTGTCCGAGCCCAAGCATGTCTATGTCTATTCCAATAGACCCCAAGGCCAGGCCGGGCACAGGGAACCTGTGTTCCTCTGTTCCAAGGCCAATCACTAGGCCAGGCCCTAACACTAACATCCTCAACTTCTCAACCAACACTGCCAACATCGGCCTTCCTAGGCGCCTGCTCAATCTGGAAGAGCAACACATGCATGTTCATGCATGTTCAATTTTCAGCCTTCAAAGCACTAAACTTACCCCATTGCATGCACCCCAAAATACCAGGTGCATGCAGCTAGTCTCAATCAGAAATTAAAAATACTCTCCTAACCTACTCTCCCTGAAATAATCATGGAAGTGAACTGGAAAACGGTCCCTTGGATTATAGTTTTTCTCCACAAGCCGGTGGTTGTCCACTTCCACGTGATGTGTTCGTCGGAGTGTAATGTGCACAGTTCTCCCAAATTTTCCACCAATTTCAAACCCATGTTCCTCCCTCTTCCTCGTGTTTTCATCACCGCCACTAACACGACAGTCAGCGTCCCACACACGCAGAAATCCGGCGATTCAGGTCTTGGTCTCAGATGTCCTATCAATTCTCAGAACATGGTGCAACCAAAAACAAGAAAAACCACCCAAAACAACACACAAAAACAACACAGGTTCAGTTCTCTTTAAGAAGAAATAACTGTACAAAGGTTCAGGTTTACGGTCTAAATTCCCTCTTTCAACAGTTCCAATTGTTCGTGTTTTTGTTTCCATTTGGAGTCCCACGAGGAGTAGACAGGGGCGGGCCTCCCGGGGCGGCCCCTTTCGTGGGAGGACCAAACCGCCCCCCCTTCCAAGTTCGGGCGACGAATGAATCAAAACTCCCCAGTTGGATTGACTCTACCCTTTCCATCTATCATTCTATATATTTATTTATTATCATATATTCAATATATCGAACATATCATGATCTTCATCTGGGTGGGTTTTTATCAAAAGTCTACATGACCCACAGCTAGATGGAAGTCCAACTCTGATGCTTTAAAAGGAAACAAACAGACCTCTGGCGGACGATGACCCACATGAACCCCCGACTCCCCCCGACTCGCACGCACTAGACGCGCTTCAAATAAGCGTATAGACGTAGACGTTGGTTCCGAGGGGCCGTTCACCAGGGAGGCCTTCAGCTCACGTTTGGCGCGCTCCACCTAGGAGACGAGAGTACCGGAGACGAGGGGAGACGGAGACGAGGAGCTCTACCAGCGATGGAGCGTTGTTTGAAGAGACGAGGTCGGTGGTGCGATGGAATTGGCAAAGGAGAATGTGACCATATGTGTGATGAGAATGTGCTTTGTCACGACGGCTATGAGCCTAAGTGGAAGTATTGGGGACGTTTGATGAAATCAAAGACCCCCATGTTTTTGTACCGCGACGTGCGGACTGTATGAGAGTCACGGCCGGATTGGCAGTGTTCGTTCACACCCCTTAACAATCCAAATGGGCCGGTTATAGATCAAGAGTCTTGGGAAGGCCGTAATATGGGCCTTGCAATTCTTCTGGTTGGATCAATGATGAATCAATATCAATCATGAGAGAACATCTGGTCAATTTGTCTACACTCCCTGAAACAATCATGGAAGTGGAACATAGGCCCCTGGAAGACCACTTTCCTCTACAAGGGGGTCCTGGTCAGCTCCCATGATTGTTGGAGGGAGGGTAGATTTAGTACAATAAAAAACGCATATGAAGCAGCAGCCGGCTCTCCGGCTTTATGTTTCCATGGCTAACCTGCCCTCCTATAAGCGAGATCTGAGGCTCTTGAAGAATTCTATGGCTCAAAGGGGTCTAAGTCTAAAAGCATCTAAAAGCTGCCTTTCTGAAACCATGCACTCACTCTCTCGATGACTTTGGTCGATGACAAGCACAAAGGATCCGGCTGAGCCCTAGCCCTAGTCGTGTCTAATTAAGCAAACTGGTCGCGTTTCTGAAAACAACACGCTATTGGCCCGACCTCCAGGCCAAACCCCTGAACCCGAAAACCCATTCTTCTTTTTGCCCCTCGCGCGTGTTCTTCCCGTTGGCACCTCCTCGTCCGTCACGGAGAAGGAGAGCAGGTTGATGCCGAACATCAACTCACCAACGGCGTGCTCCACCGCCACCTCTGGCCACCGCAGCGGTTCGCAGTCGACCACGTTGCCAAGTCGACCACCGTGCTCCACCGCGCTCACATCAACGGGGAAGACCACCGCGCCGAACGGAACGACCCGGTCGCGACCCGGTCGCGACCCGTCGTGTGACACGAAGGGATTTCAAGTGACCATCTGGCGCGAAAGGGTGGTCTAGACAAGGCCATCCCAGTGGCGCGAACTGAGAAAACAAGCACGTGCATTATTAATGTTCTGACATAGGATGAACAATTCCTGCCATCTCGTGCTTTCACGTTCTCGTGGTACCTAGGATTGGCCCACCGAACCCCAACAGCGCTTTCCGGGCCTCATCACAAACGGTGTAGAAGCCAAACCTGGAGCCAGAGCTGCATGCCGCATGCTGCCGCAGTGCCAATGGGCCCAAAACATCTTCACATCTTCCGCCCAAACCCCTCAAAATCCGGTTTTACCAGCAAGCTCCACCAGGTCATCCCTTGCAAAACTCCACAACCTCCAGCAAAGATCTGTTGACAGTCGTTGATGATGATGATGATGACAGGGACTGTCAGACTTGGAGGTCCAAGTAGCGGACGTTCGATCGGAGAGTTGCAACCAATTACCTGCAACCAATCTGTGATTCCAGTTGGTCTAAATCTGTGATTCCAACAACCAGTTGGTCTAAATGTTGGACCGGTCCTGAATCAATCTGTCAAATATTCCATTCACAGTGTGTGATTCATGAGACTCTCAGAGGTCTGTGCAAGAAACAAGCTGGGGAAATGTGGAAACATGTGGAAACCCTTCCCTGCAAGTCCCTCAAACGGCCAAAGAGAATTGATGTCAGTGACTAAGCCGCCGACACACCAGTATCCTTGTAGAAATGCATGATGGTTTCATATTCCTGCGCCATGTCCGTCAGATCATGAGCGAGATCCCTTGAGGATCTGAGAGAAACCGGAGAAACAACTGCAACCAGATGGAGTAAGGGACCGGTGTAGCCAACTATACGGCTCTATAATGGGTCAAAATCCAATATCATTCATGATCTGGGGGTTCTAAGGTTCTGACATGCTTTTACACATCTGAATATCTCCCTAAATGGTCAGAAGTTGTTTGGCCTGATGACTCTGGGCTGGACCAGTCAATTCTCGACTGTGCCCCCCCTCGTGACTGCAGTAGATGTCGATGGATGTGGCCATGATGTGGCCTCTATGGCACAAGTGCCAAACCCACGATTTACATTCATTTACATGTACCGTGTTGAACTGTTGACCGCCTTTCATCCTGGTGGTTTCATTGGTGGTGCAGGAGCTCTTCTTCTTCTTCTTCTTCTTCTTCTTCTTCTTCTTCTTCTTCCAGCAGCGCCCAGCGAGAGACAGGAGACGCTTCCGCCGTTCGGATGCCCTTCGATCGCCCCCAAACGCCCTGGCTCGTCTCATCCGCTTCGGCCGCAGGGGAGGCACCCACGGACACCGCGGTCGGGTCGGTGGAAGGTTTCGGTCCGAGGTGATCCTCCCAACGGCTGCGGGAACGGCGCCACGGACGTCGGACGGACCCCTCCTCGGCACATCCCACGCCTCAAAGGCAGAGGCAGGGGGCCGGGGGCTGTGAGTTTCACACAGGTGGATGAGAAGAGTCCTGTGGGATTTAACATCATGGAACCTCTATGCATCTGTGCTACCTGAGGTCACTTGAGGCTGGACCTGGCACTATGTTCAAAAACTGGTTCCCAACGGCCGCGTAGGACGGAGAAAAAGGTCTAGAAAAGCCCAACGGCCGCGTCACAACGATAGGAGGATCTCCCGAAACGCTGATACTCCAAACTTTGGAGGAATATGGATGCTGCAAAACAACCACGGCCGGAGTCCAGGTCAAAGCAGTTGTAAAAGTGGTGCTTATGGAGGGGTCTGGGGCCCGCCCTGGTCTTCAAATGTCTCAAGTCTGAAATGATTCGATAGAAAATGGTCCATCCAAGAGAAACCTTAACCTTCCAGAAGTGCCCAGGAAAGGGCGCTGGGACTCCTGCGCAACAAATACAGTATCTGGACCATACGTGCTACGGATGCTAAAGGTACCAAATGGAAGCTCTAGCCGAGTATTTTGTGGGGAGTCAGGCAGGCTGAGTCAGGTAGTCCAAGTGACATCAAAGGGTACTCGCATGATGATGGGGTATGCCTTCAAACTTCAAACCAACACCCGCCGAAAGAGGAACAACTGGTGAAGGATGATAATCTTCGAATCAACCATCAAATAGTCCTACTTGGCAGGGCAATGGTGAAGTTGCATGTATGTCAAGAACATGAGAACGAGTTAACTCGTTCTCCTTGTTCCTTGTGGTTTCGAAAGAGACTCCCGATATTCAAAATTTCAGCTCGAGAAACACAAGATTTCCTGCAACCCGATTGGGGGGGGGCACCTCCCCCTTCAACAACGCTCAAGCAGTCCCTCTCCTTTCAGTTCCTCGGTCCCGGGCCCATTTTGTTGGCCACCGCATTGATGGTGCGGTTCCCTGTTTGGTCGGCACGAGATGGCATGAGGGAAGCAGTAAATCAGATTGTTCAAACAGAAAACCTACATATTGGAGCTTCAGAAATCAAACATCAGACTCGATTTCGCTCAAAAAATGAACATGTTCCTGAAACGCTTTCGTTGGGGAAGCTGGATCCAGGAACCTTGGTGAGTGGATCATGGGCATCCAAAGAGATAAAGACTCGATCTTATTTTTGGAGGACTCATAAAGATAAAGACTCGATAAACATCGATAAACACTGATTTGGGAGCTTTATCATTGTGGCACATATATTGTCTTCATCAATCTTCGTTTCTTGTGCCCTCCGATCTGTGTTCACGCCCGCCCACCGGATCTCGGAGCTGCTAACCAACCCCACCGGATCTCGGAGCCACCGAAAAAAAAAAAAAACAAAAAAAACACAAAACACGAACAGAACCCTTCCCACAAACCAAAACGAGCCACCGGTTGAAAACCGGCCTGAAATGGTGCCCGGCACCAGGCCAGTGTTCTTCTTGTACTTACCAATGATGGCCTGACGTCCGACTGGTCCCAGGTGACGGGTCGGTTCCGGTAGCGAGGGAGCCCCGGACCGCTCGAAATAGGCTCAATACGGCTGCCTTTGCCTGGCTTTGGCATCCTTGCGCATGCTTGCGCTTTCTTGTACATGGAATAGGACAATCATGGACATGCTCAGCAAGAGGGGGGGTTCGATATTCATGCGATTTTTCGGCCGACGACCTACCCTCATCTCCCCGCCAACAAGGTTGCTCGTAGGGGTTCCTAAAGGTCCAGCCAACATCTGCTTCAGGACTGGGAATGATTTGTCTCTTCCAAACTAGTACCCATACACTCCATGGGACTGCCATATATGCCTACATTGACTCCCCAAACCACTCCCTATCGAACTCTGGTGCTGGTGCGACCTTTGCGCATCGGTCGAATGATGACCTCAACCGACCCGGCGCCGCCCGGCGACCAGGTTTTCCTTGAACGAGCCATAAGTGCCACCTGTGAGAGCAACAAAGCAACAAAGTGAATCGCCCTTGCGATCCACAGTCCCGGAACTATTTTCCAAGGCCTGTAATGTTTATATATATATGGCTCATTCTGGCCGATTCAGACCTCCCAAAAACCGTCTTCGCGTTGCAACACATCGTGGATCATCATCGGTTCCCGGTGACCCTCGGCGACCCTCGGGTCTGGTCTTGAACACTGCCACGTCGCGGTCCTGAACACTGAGAGAGTCTTTCTCGAGGAGACCACAATCCCAGCGAAAAAAACAGCTGGTGCATTCGGAGTGGGAATCTTGTGCATTCCACAACAGATCCCCAAAGTGAAGAACAGAGGGCAATTCTCATGGAACGGAATCTTCTCCGCAATGGCCGGTTCTGATCCCCTCGCATTCGGCGGCACGGTACCGTAAAGAACCGCTGCAGGGCTCCGCACCTGCATGACCATAAAGGTCACTGCGTCAGGGCCTGGGAGCTAAGATTTCGTGGATTCAGGACTCAAACACCTTGGGAAGTTGACAATTGCCTTTCCCTATTTGGAAAAAAAAGCATATGTAATCATATGTATAAACATTAGATATATATAGATAGATAGATAGATAGATTGATCGATTGATTGGTTGCTTGGTTGGTTGGTTGGCTGGTTGGTTGGTTGGTTGGTTGGTATAAATAAATGAATAAGACATAGATTGATAGATAAATGGAATGGATAGAATGGAATTCTTTGGATTCCTATATGAATTGCATTGAATTCCTATCCCAGCACCCTGCCAGGTCTCCTCCAAAGGGTTGGGCCTTAACAGGGCTCAGCTGTTGGAGGGAGTTCTGCTATGGATTTTCTTGGACTCTTTGATAAATGGTTTCAAGTTTGTGTGTTCCTCTTCGGCAAGGTGACGTTACTTGTACTAATTTGGGCTGGGAATTGAACCCAAAGGGTAAGGCAGACCAGGCGATTAAATGGTTCCGTTATGTTCCCTTGATCAGAAAAGCGCTCGCTCCTGGTGATGGAGAACCATGTGTTTCCTCCAATAGAAATGGATGTGGTCAAAGAGAAGAACGAGATCGATATACTATAACTATCATACTCAAAGTGACTAACATGATACTATGGCAAACGACTGGAACGATCCAATGGTCACAACTATATGTGTATAATCCAACAGTTATATATCAATACAGAGATGTAGTAGGCCAAACTCGCACACATGTTGATCAGAGTTGAGTATAGATCAACTACATGCATGCTGACTCCCAACAAATCTCCGGTAGATTTGGTAGCTGGGGGGCAACAGTCCGACGCACATCTTATTATGACAGGGGAAGCCAAACGCTCTGCTGGTTGATTGGTGGTGTCAACTCATTTGCTCATTTGAAACATGTTGGTCGGTTAAGGTATGCATGTATGTTAAGGATTGCTAAGGTTGAAAATGAACATATCCAACACCACCTGGTCTTTCAATCGAACATCCCACCGGTCGGAGGTTTTTGTTTGTTTAACTTTCCTTGGGCACCAGGCTCTTGTATGGCACGGCCTCCCATCCAATGGAGATATATGCCAATGGCCCCATCTCGTCGTTACGATAGAGCAGCTGGCGGTCGCTCGGAGCCGAGCTGGATCGACCCGTTTCAACCCTCGACCTCCAAGTGTTTAGGACGGAAGGGACCACCAAATACCACCAGGGGTGTGGATCTATTTGGAGAATATATCATATATCCCCTTGCCAGAGCCCAGTGGATGATGGTTAGGTTGCAGCTGCAGACCTTTCCTCAAAATAGTGATCATCTTTTCCTGATGGTTACTGGTATTGGGGTACACACCAGAAATAGACCTTGGCTGCAGGTTCAAATCCATATTGACCATGCAGGAACAACTCCCAAAGTCTATAGAGTCTTGATCTTGCCAGCAAGTCCCTGGGCCCGTGCCAGGAGCTACAGCTATGGGAACGACACATGTTTGACCTGTGGTTGGAAGATTGGGGTCCATATTTATTGTGAGGTACTCTTGATGGTTTTTCAACCCCCCATAAGCAGGGAATGAAGCGGCCTCCTTGAATCACATTCTTCAGCTCCTTGACCGATTCAATCCATTCGCACTTCAATGGCGAACGGTCCGGTCGGGGACTCTGCAGGGACTTGATGGCTGTGGGATGCCATGAACTCACCCTGTTCGACCTTCCAAACCTCGTCTATTCTCTTCGTGTTCAATGGTCAACTGGTCGTTTTTCGGTAGGTGCCATGACCTACAGCCATAATATGGGTACCATTCTGTTTGAGGCCAAGAAGGAACGAACTTGGAGGCGCCCCAAAATGGCCGGATCCGAAGAACAAGGCACTCGACTGTCGAGCATTGGCGATGTAATATAGTATAATATAACGTTCAAGATCTTTCAAGTATATTACGTTACAAAACTCGACCAACCACATCAGCAAGTGTGGTCTCCACACTTGCTCGCCCCTTCTGAAATTGTTAGAAACCGGCCCCTTTCGTTGTTCTCTTCTTCTCGACCCTCGTTTTGGTCTTCGCCCAGCCGAAGCTCCCGACATCGCACCGGGAGCACCGACCATCGCGCCGCAGAAGTAGGGCTTGGAACCATAGACCTTCGGTGCACCCGCCTGAGGCCGAGCATTGAAGCTGACTTGGGATCGGTAGTCGGTTGGGGCTGACTTGGTCGACTTCCGGATATGGATGGAAGATTTCGCCGACGACCCCTCAAAAAATCTGTGACCCATCCATGTATATAGGGGTTTAACCCATGTACAAAGAATGTCAAGCATATCTTTCAAGTTCTATGGATTCTTTGTTTGCTTGGCATTCTCGCCTCCACCAGGCGATGTTCCGCTCCAAGTCACGTGGCTCGTCCACCCGGTCCCGTCTCGGGCGAGCCACGGGTGGGAGGTGCGGACCGGCCTTGACTGCGCCAAAGGATTTCTCGGCGAGCTTCACCAACTCCGCATGCTTCACGGCTCCTATTAGGAAGGGACGGAGGGCTCCGCATCGGAGAACGCACGTGGGAGCCGCAGGAAGTCAGGAAGAGTGAAGTGAAGCTATCTGAACGTCCTGCCTGGTGGAAGAAGGGAGTTCAATCTTGGTGGAATGCTATCTTTTTGCTCGTTTGTTGAACGGTGCATGATGCAAAAAGAATCAATCTCCACAGCCTGCAAGTAATAGTTTTAGACCTCCCATCAAGTCTTTGTTTGTGGCTGATATAAGGGTCCACCTTTCCTGGTTCCATTGCTGCCCTCCTTCAATGCTTTGCCTGCTTCCAATGGGCAGCTGCAGAAACAGAGTAGACACAATACACAACATGTCCCAGAGAATGTTGACCAACGGCTTATCCTTGATCAGTGGCATTCATCCACTTGAGCGGCTGACTTGCAATCCCCTCTCCTGCTTCCGACTCCGTTTTCAGATCGTGTCGTGTCGGGACCTGTCGCTGGGCACCTCCGCACCTCCGCACCTCGGATCCTCCGATCCTCCCGAGCCCCCGGCCCGTAGCACCGGGTCTCCTGATGCAGCGACCACCATCTTGTCAGCTGTGAAGTTGCTCTCGACGTGTTGCTTCAAGTGCTCCTGGTGGATCTACCATGAATCCAGGCCCCCGGAAGGTGTGTTTCCACCATGTTGAACTGTTGTTGAAAGAATTGCTCATGTCAGTCACCACATGTCACCACAGTCCAGTCCCACACCACACCACCCATTCTTGGAGCATTCTTCCGGCGGAAAAAAAAGAAACATGGACCGAAATGATCCCCACCTCCAGTCGTACCTCAGGTTACATGACTTCGGTCCCACTGGACATGACTGGACCCTCCACCCGCCGACTCCGCAACTGGGAGCTCAGAAGGCAGTCCGACTGGGCCCGAGTGCGACCCGACTCCAGGTTCTCGCCGACCTCCGGGTCTCCGCTTCTCTCCTGGCTGATGTTCTCAATCCCCTCGAAAGGCCCCGTAGTCGCGAAGCCCAAGGAGTAGTCTCGGAAGGCACAAGCGTGGAGCCTGCAGGGTCCGGGTCCGCCGCCCCAAAGCCATGGGCTGGTGGTTTTGAGATCCAAACGACTTGAACATTAGTCAGGGGGATATACCCTTTGGGTGGTGGCTGTTCAAATCTGAACTTCTAAAACAATGCCAGGGATCAATCTCCAAGTGTCAGCTACACAGGGAGTTCCACAGGCAAGAATCAAGCATGCTTCATGAAAGTTCATGATGTGAGCCAAAGGGATTCATTCACGACGCTTTTCAGATCACTTTCATCAGATCCTTTAGCCCCAAAGAACATGAAAAGGTGGCCCCTCCATGGTGACAGACCACCATGGGGTGTTCTTCGATCGGCGTTTCGCGGGCGAACTCGCCGGTGGAACTTCACCCCGAGTCGGAAGGACCTCCACCAAGCTATTGGGTTTTGGCGGAGTCTCAGGGAAGTACCTGAGAAAATGGCTACGTACGTCGTACCTGTTTTTTTCATGTCACATGTCCTATTATAGTATCTATGTCTATTAGTCGTATTTTCTAGGGTACTTTGAAGGGTCCAGGTAGTGGGGAGACCAATCCCCCAAAAAGGATTAAAGGCGATCCAATGACAGTACAGGGTAGGGATCCACATCGCTGCAATGGCCTGTCATCAATCACTTTGCGTGTGTCCTGCGGTGTCTCCTGGCAGCAAGCGGCCAACGCACACCCCCTGCAGCTGGGGAAGAGGGTTTCGCTGAAATTGACAGCAGCATCCATCCACCTAAAATTCTATCCGATTTCTGAAAAAGCCGTCCACCCGGTCCCTCTCCCATAAAACAGAATGCTGCAAAAACACTCCATGTATGCCATATTTGCCTGAATTGGGGTGTTTGGGGGGTCAATGTACAGGAAAGGTACTCAAGATGATCAAATTGCTAACCCATCGAAAAGGATGATCTCCAGAAGTGTGGCGTTTCATGCGGGGAACGGTGAACGGTCGTTTTTTTTTATTCACAGATTCTTCGACGGAATGAACTCTCCAGTCGTGGCTGGACCTCTGGACTCAGGGGTGGCACAGGCACGAAAAAATGCCTGGAAAGCCCGATGTCGCAAGGAGGCTCCACAAAGGTATAGTAGCTTCTTGTTCCTAGTAGTACGGCCAGGAGCCCCTAGTAGCTTCTTGTTCCTAGAAGCAAAATCTTTGAACTGCATGATGAGTAATTCGTGACTTCTCCACTGATAGTGGAACAAGGATGTATTAAAGACTTCCATCGACAGGTCCCTTTTCGTGTCAGACTACAACCAAAAAAGCCCAACAAGATCCAACAATTACAGTATAAGAATGCAGTAATTATTGAGTCTTTCATCCACCTTTTCATCCACGTACCATGGGCCATGAGTGACTGATTCCCAGACGGACACCTGTTGGTGAAATCCGATGTCTTAAACCAAAAGTGCTTCTTCGAAAGAACCAACAGAAGATAGGTGGTGAAGGTGAAACGGTCTTCACTGGATCAGTCCTCGATCTTCCTCAAGATATTCTGCTTCTCCTTGGCATAGTTGGCCAACGCCTCGGCTCGAGCCGTGGGACGAGCGGTGCGAGGCCTTGGACCGGCTGTCCCGGTGTCATGGACCGGTTCAGGGGGGGAAAAGGGGGTCCCATGGGTCAGGGTGAACATCCATCAGCCCATCTGACCTCACTCGTTGCGGCGGGAACATGGGAGGCAGCCCAGTGGATGATACTCTTCGTAGGTTTACTGAGCCACACTAGAGGTTGATCTTCAACACAATTTGTTAGTCATGTTTTCCCAGTGCAGCTCAACAAATGAGAAGTCCACCAAACATGGAGGTGTCTGTCTCAACAGTGTCAGTGTCAGAAACAAAAACACACACAAACTATAAATCCCATGAAATATATGCCTACATTGAAACTGATTCCTAAAACCAACCCAATGTGGGTAAATATGCCATACCGCCATATAGTTACATGGAGTGTCTGGGAATGGGTCATGGAAAATTGTTGCAGAAATACAAAACATCGGCCCGGTCAATTACCCAACAAATGGCCCGTAGACTCACATTTTCAGCTGTGGACTCACGGGACGTCAATTGGCACATCAATTGACTATATATATATATACATCACATCACCTTGATTGGTGGACAATTGTTGAGTCACTTTGAGATTCGAGTGAAGGTCGCTTTCCTCCCACGGTGCGACTGTCCTTGTTTTGCGCGAGGGGACCACGTCCCACGCTCGTTGTGCAACTTCTGCCGGGAGACCGGTTTGGTCGCCAGATCGGCCAGGATCTCCACACCCTAAAGGTGGTGGTGGACAAACGTGCCAAGGTCCCAAGGTCATTAGGTATCCTGACCCTAAATTAGAAGAGAGAAATATGTATTTAATGTACATGTAAAGATTCACTGTGATTCACCTTTTTGGGTTTTCAGTGCTTTCACGTGAATTGGGCTTTGAGATGTCTGGGCAACTATTTCAAAACATACTGTACTCCGAAGGGCATACCCCTCAGGCCACTCAGGCACAGGCGAAGTTAATGTTCAGTACTGTAGATGTCCCGGAAAAAATCACACACATGGACACATGGAATACCAAGAGTGG